GACGAGTATAATATTGATTGATGACACTGGTAGTCCCTGTGGGTGTATGGATCAAACAAAGAGGATTAATTTCACGGCTCAAATGCAACAACTATCCCCAAGAGAACCTTCCAAAATAATTTAACCTTTTCATACAAATTGTCTTAAATTATTATTGGCAAGTAAGTTTTTATAAATGTTATTGAATATGAATATTATTCCAGTAGGAAAGTTGTTGCATTTCAACAGTAAAATCAATCCTTTTTGTTAGATGTTAGAAGACGAGCAAAAAAGAGACACGGCCGTACTATCCTTTTCTCGAAGCAATTCAAGCCATTTTCGACCCCCTGTAACTTCGTTGTGGATAAAACTAGAAGACTGAATTTTCAGTATCCATGCAGGCATTGTAAAGACACGGTATGTTTCACATTTCATTCAATTTGAACCAGTAGTTTATGAATTATAACGGGTCAAAGTTTCTTAATTTTGTCACTGACTGACTGACTGACTGACTGACTGACTGACTGACTGACTGACTGACTGACTGACTGACTGACTGACTGACTGACTGACTGACTGACTGACTGACTGACTGACTGACTGACTGATTTTTAACTACTTTCTTAAACTTACTTAAATAACTTTGTGATACCATATAAATATAAAGGCGCATCGCATGAAAACGCGTGTAAATTAAATTATTTAGTGCGATGGCCAGGTCAATAAATTTATGTAAAACGTTAAAGATTTCCTGGCCTGGACTTGGTATTACATGGATCTTACAACTTTTTACCGTAGAACAACTGAGTTGCGAGACATGGTTTTTTTGACAAGTATTGTTTTTGATGGGATCCATATTTACAGGGAGACCCTGTATAAGCACGATACACACTTAAGTTTATGTAGCAAGGAACTTCAGCTTGACCGCTAATTAAAACTTAACCAATGAAAGTCAAGTTAAAAAGTTGAACCCGCAATTAAAATAAGAGGAGTTCGAAAATACGGTACGGTATTCAAATATAGACATATTAAGGCTGGGTTGCGCCATCTTTTTTTTTAACTTTGATAAACGTCAAAAATCTATTAGACTCCATACAAAAACACCGGTTATTGTTGAAGTTACGGTCAAAGTTAGGTGGTGCAACTCAGCCTAAGTTTTCAACTCCCGCAACTTTTACTTCCCGCAACGCAAAAACACAGCACTAAATCTAATAAAAACAATATATCTGAAAGTTTCCATGGAAGAGTTCATAAAACCAAATAACTAGATATTTTCCGCAAATACTCTATTATCTATGTTTACTCAACTGCCAACTCTTGGTACTCCAAAAAGAGGTACTGCTAGTGCTAGATGTCTGTGTGGAAAATTAAGGAGAAAAAGTTTTACGGCGCAGTCGCCTGATGTATCATAGCATGGTGAGTTAATGGACGAAAGTCATTTTATGAAGAAAAAGTAGTTGTTAGAAGTAACGCGTGCTTATAGTTTTCACTCGAATACAGTTAGCAGAAGTAGATTGAATCTTAATAATCACATAGCCCTACGGATCAGCAAGCTGAAGTGTCAGTGGGCAGGGCACATAGTACGCAGAACTGACGGCCGATGGGGCAGCAAGGTTCTGGAATGGAGGCCACGTACCGGAAAACGCAGCGTGGGACTTCCACCCACAAGGTGGACCGACGACCTGATAAAGGTAGCAGGAAGGCGCTGGATGCAGGCCGCTACCAACCGTGCGATGTGGAAGTAATTGGGGGTGGCCTATGTTCAACAGTGGACGTCCTGTGGCTGAAATGATGATGATGATGATGATGATGATTTGACTGATTTATTTGCTATGGCAAAGATTAGTAAGCCTATGCGTTAATTCGGGTGTCAGCTAGCTCCATACCAAATATTAAAATCCAGACGTTTAGACGTGAAGTAGTAACAAACAGATACACTCACAAACTCTCGCCTTTATAATATCAGTGTTATTAGCTTGATAATGCATCCACAATATAGTACGTAATAACATCGCTCTTAAGCTAGATAGGTATTTGATTTCGAGGTCGGGCGGAGTTCTTGAGATGAGATCGATCACTTAAGACTGACCACTCAAGGTCGTAGCTCGGCTCAGCTGTTCTTAATAGGTATTAAATACGAGTAGAAGGTATTTCTGTTAAAAAGTTGGAAGAAAAAGTTTTTTAATCTCGTTTTTAAACAGACATCCTAATGAACAAACTAGTATTGTAATTATTACAATCATATCCCTGCTAATATTATAAATGCAAAAGTAACTCTGTCTGTGTCGCTTTCACGCCTAAACCACTGAACTGATTTTGATGAAATTTAGCATAGAGATAGTTTAAGTCCCGGGAAAGGACATAGGATAGTTTTTACCCCGATTTTTAAACAGGCGCGATAAAGGTTTTCTGTGACAAACAAAATTTTACGCATGCGAAGCTGCGGACGGAAAGCTAGTTAAAAATATAGTTTACTTATAAAAAAAAACATAAATAATATTACAGAAAATAATTATAAGTAGTAATCGTAAACAGGAACAAAGACATTTACTATATTTGGCGTTACAAATTGTTGTGGCACAACTGACTGAGTACTGGTAAGATAATTAATTTATCTATCCTTTTTCAGGTCTCTGACAATGAAATTTTCCAGCAGCTTTCTAATTCAAAATAAATTCTAATTTTCATTTGAACCCTTTTCAGGGCTCGTCCCAAATCAACTCCCCCATCACTTCGGAACAATATATCGGTCAGTTAGATGCGCAAGGGTCGTTTTCTTGGTGAAATCAATCAAGTTTTCTACATATTAATATTGTGCTTGTGAACGCTTAACCTTATGCCAATTTAAGGAGCTTAATGCAAAACATTTTCACCATCAATCTTTAGTTTTCAAGCTATCTCCTATAGTAACACATAACAGAAATTTCGTTTTTATAGGGGTAACCTAAAAATTGTGGAAATTACCGGTCTTTGTGGAAATCCTTGGGGGAGGCCTTTGTCCAGCATTGGACGTATTTCGGCTGAAACGAACGAACGAACCTTAAAATTAGTGATTGATGGTGAAAACGGGCATATGTTACTATTTAAAGCATTAACAACTACATAAAACATTAGTCTCTGCTGCAGGAGTGAAAAATGAAGGATATCCTACATACACTCCTCATGCTAATCAAACGGGTTGAAGAGGCCTGATGTTGCATATTTCTTCGTTAGTAGCCTCTTGCGAAATCCACGGGAAGACTTACAAAAACAAAGTCTTCAATTATTGAACTCTTAACTTAATGAAGAAAATTCAATATTTAGTTCAAACCAAACGCTGCTCCACCTGAGCCCTCCATCTTATAAAATTTCAGTGCTGCATGAAACGACAAAACTTTTTTCCTGTCCGAAGCGTAGCCGAGGAGTACCAGCTCGTTTATTTCATTTTACAGAACTCCAACATGAAAAGCCATTCTTCAAGGCTGGCTTCGATCGCGGCTGTCTTCCAAATCCTCATAATTATCAGCAATTAATTTTAATTATTTCCCGCCTGTCTTGCGCATCGGAGGCGAGGATCACTGCTAGGACGAGACCTTAATTGATTGCCATCAAAATATATCTCGGCAAGGGTTGTCGCTGGACGTATTCGAATAAATAAAAGGAAAAAGCTGGAATTTTGGGAGCCTTGTTTCGTTGCTAAGGTTCTTTGATTGCCTGAAGAAACTAGTAACAGTTCTGGCAGATAAGCACTACATTTTTAAATTATAGCTTCAACCGTATTTTCTGAAGTAGGTGTATCTTTTCAGTGTGGTTTCTGATGATAGTTCATTTATGATGGCACTTCTTCGTCTCACAGGTGCTTACCTCATCAATGATATTTTAACTCTGTATATTTAAACACTGAGGTGTAAAACTATAAATGGAATAAGGCCTAACTAATCCGTAGCAGCTAAACGCAAATCGTGAAAGTCTAGAATGAAAATATTTGGTCTAATTATATCATCTCTCCCTCTTAATATGAGACTACGCCATTCACCATAATGTAGGACATAAATCTACTATTATAAATATGACCAGTAAAACTCATTTCTTATTAAAAAAAAACTTTACGGATTATGTTTTTTGCAACAAAAGTCCAGCTAATATTTTTTATAGCGTTCGTATGTCGCTTGTCCAATGGGATAACTTTACAATGCGCTATCCCATTCGTGTCTTTATGTATGGGGTCAATCGTAATTCCGTTTAACTCCGCAGTTACTTTTAGATCCAGGACGTGGGCAGCAATAAAAACAACGGGATTCTTTGGGACTGGACGCCATTGTGAAATATAGGCCTGGCAATTTGCCTAGAGCAGACTGCAAGGCGCAGGAATTCAATTTCCTTTCGGATTTAAGTACATACTTACTTTGGAGTGCTAATCTATTGGCTATGTGTGTATTGTAAGATATTATTGGACAGATTTAAAGTTCATACTGTTTTATCTCTTCAATAAAAATGTTCCGGAAAAATATTTAAGTTGGTCACATTGACATTTCAAAGGCCTATATCGAATGTTTTTTTATACAAAAGTCGCTAAAAAGGCAAATTAAATGTCATGGGATTGAATCATTTTCGAAGCGAAATAATTATAATTATTTCATGCAGACATCCAACAGAGCATTCCCACAAGACCCTGGTTCTTTAAATATCACCACTTATCTAAAAGGACTGTTTCCATTATCTGTCGCTTGCGTCTTGGACATGCTTGTACACCGGTTCACCTTGCCAAAATGCGGATTAAAGATAANCTTGTTCATGCAATGTTTTTTTTCTTATCCGCCGCCCCCTTTCATATGCCGCCCGGGGCCATGGCCCCCCCTTCCCCCCCCAAGCCTACGCCCCCGAAAATATACAAAAGTCAGAAAGAAACCATTAGGTCGTTAGGATGTGTCTCTACGGCAGAACGCCGTCACCACGATCTAATATGCATATAGCGCCATCTTTAGGTAGCTTAGAAAAGCAATTTTTTTCTCGTTTTGAGATAGCCAGGCATCACTATTGGCACTACTTTCCTAAAAAAATTATAGGCTGATTTGATCATTTGCTCGATTTCTTATTTTAGAAATATCAATATGGAGCCTGACTCCAAAGCGAGCTCTGTTCCTAATCGAAATGGACAACAAGCTAAACGTCCACCGGCAGTTAAGTTCCAAGGGCCTGAACCACACGGTGTTGATATTGGACGTGCAAAGAAGAGTGGATGAGCAGAAGATTCGACCAGTTGCGTGGGACAAGAAAACGTTGAGACGAGGTAAGAAAATGGTTAAACATGCTTATGTTAAATTCTAAAATTCTATATGAAAGTTGTTTTTGAGTCGTGTAATGAAAAAAAATGTTGAATCGTGGTAAGTGTCCACTTCAGACCTTTCTACGTGGTATCGAAAAGTTCATAAACTAGCTAAGTAACTTATTACAAAGGACATCATTTTTTTTGGGCCTTTTCNTTTTTTTTTTTTTTTTTCCCCTAAATTGTCGCCCGCAACAACAACATCCCTTTTTTGTCTCCCATAATTTTATTGTTTGTTCTGTTGATATTTTATTTTCATGTATTGTGTTGTCTTATTTGTGATGTCTGTTTGTTTTAGGTATTTAAATTTGCTTAAATTGCAGCTACAAAATTATTTATTTTTATAACCACACTGTGTAAAAGCTGCGCACGTGACATTGGCGGAATAGTGTGCCCTCAGTGGCGAAAAAACGCAAGTTCATCGCCATAAACCAAAGAAGAAGAAGAAGTATAATTATTTCATTTTAATAAGGAAAAAATCCAACATTTATTTCCAAAGATATATCAAAAGCGATTCTAAAAATACATTTCTTGCGTACTTAATATACCTACTTTAATGAATCATTCTAAATTCTGATGAAATATTAACTGACGGAAGCCGTTTTCCATTGCCAAGCAATTTTCGATTAATCGAAGTCGTAAATAGCTGAATATCGGCATAGCACAATGTCGTAACGTCGTAAGTGGCTACTTTGACAAGTGACTATCGTGGTTTAGGCACAATATGGGACCGATCGGTCAATCTGGTCGGAGATCGACCGCCGGCCGATGATCTTCGTTCGTCCTCCGATGCGACGCTTCAAGCTTTTGCTGTTGATAGGATCAGAAATCTTCATTATGTATAAGTAGTAGAATTTATTTTTATTTCTCCTCTATGTGAGATATTTTAACAAAGATAAACTTACGCCCGTATTCACAAACGATGATTGCTTCAGTGAAGCACAAAACGAACGCACAGCGTTGAATAGACCTCTATGATTGGTTCGTGTGTCACCCTGTGCGTCCACGCGCACTGTGATAGTATTCTCTATCGAATTTTGAGTTAGTAGAGTGTAGAAGAGAGTTCAGTAAGTATTAGGAAACTCTACAATGTCTAAACTTAGACCACCGATCTCCATAGCTGTCTAGACCGCAGTCTATACATTCCATCTACACGAGTGTACTACGACATCAGGCCGAACTTGATTTAGTGTCGGCGCACACTAGGCGACACGCGACATCAACTAGACGCGACGTTAGGCTGTGGCTGACAATTTCATATATTTTGTTCAAAGCTTCGCACACTTTTTTTTAACCACAACGAGGAAGCTCTTGTCCTGTATCTCACCTGATGGTATGTGACGATCAGGCCAAAGGTGGAAGCGAGCTTCACCCAGAATCCTCAACCACAGAGGAACTGGCTATCTTACCTCTAACTGCCGGAACACAACAATGCTGTTAAAACATTGTCGTTATGACGACAGACTTGACGTCAGAGTCACAAAGTCGAAAATATATGAACGCAGCCTGTCGTCGCGTCTAGTCGCTGAACTGTCGCTGTTGCGTGTCACGTAGTGTGCATTATATTGTACGAGCTGACCCGGCGAACTTGGTTCCGCCTTAATGGCAATAAATAACGGGATAAAAAGTATCCTATGTCCTTCTCCTGGCTCTAAACTACCTCCCTGACAATTTTCAGCTAAATCGGTTCAGCCGTTCTTGAGTTATAAGTGGAGTAACTAACACGACTTTCTTTTATATATATAGATTTAAATAAAGTGCTTACTTGTAAATAAGTTACACTGAAATAGATACTTATTTGTGTTTATCACAAAAGTATAGGTATTTAGCTCAAGTAGAGATTATTTTAATTGGATTTGGGTTGGATCTGATCGGGAACTTATCTAGTGAAATTAATAGAAAATATCGTGGTTTACTTGCTATTTTAGCTTCATGGGTTTTAGAAGGAAATTATTTCGTTTGTCTAATTTTTCAATAATGTATACGAAACTCTTATAATAAGTCTTCGCTCCTTACCTATTATTATACGAGTCTTTTAGAATTTTCAGATCCAAATATGCCCAAAATCATGGATAATATGATGATGTTAAATGGTTTCCCTTCAAAGTCCTAAACAGCATTTTACTAAGACGGTATAACGTGTTAATGACATACATAAATAATATTAAGAGCTTTGAGTGAAAGCTACTTACTTAATAATCTTAGAGCCAAATGCTGTTTCGGTTACGGTTGCTTAGGTCAAATGTAATATTCAGGTTTAGAGTACAGATTATTATTCACACATAGCATATGTACATAATAGACTAGGGTTCATTGAAAAATATTCCTCCAGGTAAAACGATTACTTCATAATAGAGTAGGTGGGTACGCAAGTGGCTTTAGGAATTTTACTATTAAAAAAATATATTGACTACGCCATGAAAAACTGTTTACGAAAATACTTATCTTCTCGGAATCCATGAAAAATACATTTAATTTAAATTGCTTTTTCAATTAAAAACAACTGTTTTTTAATATATTTTGTAGTAATGTAATTCGAGTGGTTTTTCGGTAGGATGACCTGCTCGCGACTGCAATAAATTATTTCTTTCGCCAAAAAAGAAGAGACCAGCACTAAAGTGTATTTTGTTTTCTTCTTATATTGGTATATAAAACTTACTTGATAAATGTCTTTGTGCGTAAAACTAGGCAGTATAGTTTACGACCTTTTGCGTCTTCCAGAAGAATTTAAATAAAACCAGTTCGAGCCAAGAACTGGCATTAAAAGATTTTACACCCCTATTTATTGGTATGTTATTTGCCGCATACATTATTCATTCAAACACTGGAATTTGAGTCACCCAGCAATATTATTATCGTTAAATATAATAATGATTTTTTATGCACGAATTCACATGCCAGCTACGCTGGTGAGATAAGCTGCACCTCTCTTTAATTTAAGACCACATATTTTATTGTACCACATTATTTCGGTGAATAAATAATCTTTGAATCTTTGAATCTTTAAAAACAATTTATTACTAACAAAAGCCTAAATAAATACGATTTTATAATTATCTCTTGTGTAATTTGGCAATAAAATCTTTCGTCTCTGATTTCAAGTACTGAAAAATGTAACACCGTATTCCAAGCAATCTAAGTCCATATGCGCCTTAAACTCAAATTATTCCATGATAATTCAGTTATTTCTATCACAAACCTAACCACATCGTGGCACGAGCCTTATAGGTTATAGGCCACCAGTTAAAAGTGATTTAGAGCCGAGAACGTAAGATATGCCATTAGTTCTAGCCAACAACTAAATCATCCGAACACTTCAGGATATGAATGATCGGTATTCTATAGCGACATGTAACAAGCCATGCATAACGTTGTCACAACTTGGCATTTTGAATTTGCTGGGTTTTCGGCATTACGGCAGGTATTTATTTTGTTAAATGTGTAATAAAGACTTGTAGAGTGAAAAATAATTATCAATTGCACAATTTTCAAGTGTATTGCCACTCGTATTTTTAAATTACACAAATACAGAGCAAATACGGATAAACTGGCGAAAGGAAATTGACGAAAGTCGTAAAAAATCGTGTGTCATCGTATGTCAGAACATGAACCAAGAAAATGATATAAAGTAGGGGAGCGAGGGGCTTGTTGTAACAGGGGTAAGTAGTAACAGGCTCTTTTCACTAGGATCTTAAACACAATTGACATATGTCTTTGACTCGATTTAACCTATAAACCGCACCGTATCATGTTGCCATAGCTAGTGTCCCGCCGGCCGGCGCAGTGAGCGGAAATGTGCACGTACTTCTTTTTTGCCAGGTAACATAAAATTGTACTGTCGTAAAATTTCGCTTTGCGTTATTATTACTGACTAATTTCAAATGTTATATATCTTATTTCCATTCAAATTTATCAATCTCTGATAGTGTGTAACAGTTTTTATGATTGCTAAATTGTTTAAATAGTTATCTTGATAAATGTTAAAAATCATACCATGGGGTTAGTTGTAACAAAATGCGGGGGCTTGTTGTAACATGTTAAAATTAATAATTACGAAGCATACCTTAGATATCAATAATTTAATCACTGTGATTTAAAAGTGCCAATATAATTATAAGTAGTGTTTAACTAAATAAGACTGCTAATTACTAACCCCCTTACTAATAAAAAGTTACACAGTTGTTGATCACTGTTTTGAAATGACATTTCCATACTAAACGTCACTTTAAAACACTGATCAACGAGCGTGTAAGTTTTATTAGTAAGGGGGTTGATTTTTAGGTATCCCTTACTAAAAAAGTGTATTTACGTTGATTTTTGATAAGAATTATGTAACTTACTTTTAAAAGATGTGAATTTATTAAAAAAACAAGCAAAGAATAAATGATTAAAGGTATTATTGTCGTTTTTTTGGCGTTACTACTTGCCCCGGTAGATATTACAACTTGCCCCAAGCACGAGGTAAGTTGTAACACCGCACTTCTTCTAGGAAATAATTGATTGTAAAATAATGACCAATATTTATGGTATTATTTTTACTTCATTTGGTACAGGAAGAGTTACAGCTTCCATCCATCTTTATTTAGTAGACATTTAATCAATAGATCTCAAGATTATATTAGTTTTATGAAGACTGTTACAACAAGCCCCTCGCTCCCCTACATAAACGCTCACATTCTTTTAAAAAAATTCACAATCTTTTACCTTATAAAACAATTCTTTCAAAAATGAATAAAAAATTGTGAAAGCCAAAAGTACACAGCAAATTCTGAAGATTAAATATTGAATTTAAACACATTGCAGGTAAAACTGCGTAATTAGATGGCGATTATGCTACTCTCTAAGAGCACTCCTGCTTCCCAAAAGCTCTACGAAAGAACAAAAGCTTTGTTAAGGAGGTAAAGAATGAAGAACATGAATTAATCAAGCCATAAATTTTACTGACACTTCGTATAAATTAAGAG